TTTGCTATTCTATATTATATAGCGATATAAACTTACCACGGAAGATGAATCTTAACCTGTCACCTTTAGAGCTTTGTGAATATTTAACTCTTGGAGTGATGTAAATTGTCATCAAGACTTCATATAAGTCCGACTAAGATTTATAAATAAATTTCTAGACATATATCATCAGTACATCTGCTTACTAAGGATTGATTTCAAGAGGTAGACATAATGTACCCATTAAAGAATATTGTATGTACTGTAAATAATTTTTTTTTTGGTGATAACTTTATTTCTGTTTGTAGGGGAAAATTTCATTCACACATAATATTCCTCTTATAAAGATTATATAGGGCAGATACCAAAAGTTATGAAAATTTTGTTTTGCTTGTAAATATCAAATAAAAGAAGCACACATTTTGCACCAAGTTAATTCCACTCCCCCTTTTCAATAAATTAAAGACAACTAAGTCATGTTCAGCATTCTTCATTGTACATTTTTAGCTCACCTCGACGAAGTCGAGATGAGCTTATGCTATACCCCCGGCGTCGGCGTTAGCGTCGGCGTCCCAGGTTAAAGTTTTAGGAGCAGGTCCATTCCCAAGTAACTATAAGCCCTACCTGGACCAAACTTGCATGGATGATGCATCTTGGGATGGACACTACCACACTTGCTTCGGATGCTGGATCTGACCTAGATTTTCCACATGTGAGACCAGGTTTAGATTTAGGAGTAGTCTCGTTCCCAAGTAACTATAAGCCCTACCTGAACCAAACTTTCATGGATGATGCATCTAGGGATGTACACTAACCAACCTGCTTTGAATGCTGGATCTGACCTAGATTTTCCACATGAGTGAATTTTAGCCATATTTTAACCAAATTAGCATGGATGATGTATCTAGGGATGGACACTTCCAGACTTGCCTTGGATTCTGAATCTGACGTACATTTTCCAGATGAGTGACCAGGGTAATTTTTTTGGAGTAGCTATATAATATTATGGCCTGTTATGATTAAACTTGCATAGATGGTGCATCTAAGGATGAAAACTTCCAGACTTGCTTTGGATGTTGGAACTGACCAAAATTTTCTTGATTACTAAACAGGTCAAAAGTTTTTTGAGCAGGTCTATAATTAAATCAAACTTGCATGGATATTGATCTTGGGATGTACCCTAACTAGAAAAAAAATATGATGTGAAATTTGCCTTACATGTAGATAACATTCGTCAAGGTGAGCTTCGTAATCTTTGATTACCTATGTTTAATAAAAAAAATTTGTCGATTTTAGTGGTCTCTTCAGTCCTCCAGGATATTACCTTAGTTTGAAAAACTGCAACAATGGAAAGCTTATGGCAACACTGGAAGATGAGTATGATATTTTTTTATTCATCCTTGTTGAAGAAAATGGAGAGGCATATTGTGTAATGTCAGTCAGGAGTTATTTTTGTAACTAAATTGTTAACTTTTAAAGTAAACCATTTCATATCCATAATTTAATCATAATTCACATCTGATTTTTTCTTGATTTGATTGATCTCCATAGACAACTTTATTCTTAATTATTTTCATTCTCTTTTAGGACAGGACAGAGATTGAATGAAGGAGTTAGATACTTTAAGGATGTATTGCTTGTAGAAGCAAGAATCATTATCGCTTCTGTTGTCAAGAACTTAACATATAGAGAAGCTGAAGAACTTCTCTATCCATTGAAATAACAAATTTATGTTCCGGTTGATTGAGTTTGCAAATTTGTTATATTGGAATATTTCGATTGTGATAGCATTGCAAAAGATGTTCTACATCAATTGCTATATGACATGTTGAACAATATTTGTTTGCAGATTCTTTACAGTTATTATATATCACCATCTGATGAAATATTGTTATAATGTAAAATGGACTCTGTCAGGGCTGATCAATTGTACTTGGTTACTCTAGATGAACTCATAAACTCTAATAATTGTGATTTCATTCAAATCAAATCCACACCAGACCCAGACTGTTTTATCATTAATTCCTACTAAAAACATTAGTTTAAATGTAGGAAGAATTTGATAAAATTTGATGTAATTTGACTTTGAAAATATCTATTAAAGTTTTGTTTTTCTGACAAGTGAAATGAATTTCACATGCAGAATTCATACCATTGGATTTGGGTGTAATTTAAAAGGAACACTTGTGCAGCTATTCATTATTTCTTAAATAGTACCTGTAATACATTTGTATGGTCTTAATATTGTGTGGCCATTTTTTCCCCCTAGGATTAATTGATCTATGTTATTTTTATCTTTAAGTTCCTCAGTGACTAAGCCCAATTTGTATAAAAATTGGGAGCAGAGCTATAGAAAAAAGGCTTAACATTAGTTTATGTTCCAAATAATGATTATGTCAAATAAATTTTTTTCCTTACCACTTTTGTATATAGGCCTTATATATGGAGACCAAATTATGCACATTAATTCATATTGAAATGCTTGGGTTATGTTGTTCAGTGACTGGGTTATGCTGTTGAGAGTCTGGGTTATGTTGTTCTGTGACTGGGTTATGTTGAACAGTGACTGGGTTATGTTGAACAGTGACTGGGTTATGTTAAACAGTGACTGGGTTATGTTAAACAGTGACTGGGTTATGTTAAACAGTGACTGGGTTATGTTGAACAGTGACTGGGTTATGTTGAACAGTGACTGGGTTATGTTAAACAGTGACTGGGGTATGTTGTTCAGTGACTGGGTTATGTTCCTCAGTGACTGGGTTATGGTCCTCAGTGACTGGGTTATGTTGAACAGTGACTGGGTTATGTTGTTCAGTGACTGGGTTATGTTAAACAGTGACTGGGTTATGTTAAACAGTGACTGGGTTATGTTGTTCAGTGACTGGGTGATGTTAAACAGTGACTGGGTTATGTTGAACAGTGACTGGGTTATGTTAAACAGTGACTGGGGTATGTTGTTCAGTGACTGGGTTATGTTGTTCAGTGACTGGGTTATGGTCCTCAGTGACTGGGTTATGTTGAACAGTGACTGGGTTATGTTAAACAGTGACTGGGTTATGTTGTTCAGTGACTGGGTTATGTTAAACAGTGACATGGTTATGTTGTTCAGTGACTGGGTTATGTTATTCAGTGAGTGGGTTATGATGTACAGTGACTGGGTATGTTAAATAGTGAATGGGCTATGTTAAACAGTGACTGGGTTATGTTCCTTAGTGACTGGGTTATGTTAAACAGTGACTGGGTTATGTTCCTCAGTGACTGGGTGATGTTAAACAGTGACTGGGTTATGTTAAACAGTGACTGTGTTATGTTGTTTAGTGACTGGGTTATGTAAAACAGTGACTGGGTTATGTTGTTCAGTGACTGGGTTATGTTCCTCAGTGACTGGGTTACGTTAAACAGTGACTGTGTTATGTTGTTTAGTGACTGGGTTATGTTAAACAGTGACTGGGTTATGTTGTTCAGTGACTGGGTTATGTTCCTCAGTGACTGGCTTATGTTAAACAGTGACTGGGTTATGTTGTTCAGTGACTGGGTGATGTTAAACAGTGGCTGGGTTATGTGGAACAGTGACTGCGTTATGTTGAACAGTGACTGGGTTATGTGGAACAGTGACTGGGTTATGTTAAACAGTGACTGGGTTATGTTGTTCAGTGACTTGGTTATATTAAACAGTGACTGGGTTATGTTAAACAGTGACTGGCTTATGTTGTTCAGTGACTGGATTATGTTAAACAGTGACATGGTTATGTTGTTCAGTGAGTGGGTTATGATGTACAGTGACCGGATATGTTAAATGGTGACTGGGTTATGTTAAACAGTGACTGGGTTATGTTGTTTCATTTATTAATAAGCTCGCAATTGAGAAAGAAAAAGAAAAAAAAGAGAAATGAAATATATGGAGATAACGAACAGTATTCAAGCTCAAAAGTCCATTAATCAATATAAAATAGGAGCAGAGCAAACACGGACCTCCAAACATTAGAGGTGGGATCAGGTGCCATGGAGGAGTGAGCATCCCCTGCCTACCGGTCACACCCGCCGTGTGCTCCTCGTCATGATCGGGAAATAACGGAAAAACCCGTCGACAAGAAAAGCTAGAACAGTGCAGTTTTGAGGGATTCACTTAACTGAAGTGATTGCCAAAAAAAAAATTAAAATATAACAACCCATTTTTGCCAGAAAGTTTTATAGTCAGTAAGTTTTTTATCATCTTTTACAGTGTACTTCAAAGCTGTAAAATAGGATTTAAATAAATTTAGAAAACCATGAATATCTACTAAATTATGTGTGTTCATTATCTCACAGTTGAACAGTGAATTGGTTATGATTGATTGGGTATAATATGTTGAACAGTGACTAGGTTAGGTTTTCCAGTGACTGAGTAAAGTTTCACAGTGACTAGGTTATGTTGTTCAAAGACTAGATTATATTGGTTTGTAACTGGGAATTTTTTTTTCTGTGACCTAATGGCTATAAACCAGGGTCATATTAAAGAATCATCACTCTTGTAAAACTGCAAGTCAACAAGTTAGGGATTTTTGTTTTTTCACTGTACGTGATTGTCTTTATGGGCGGGATTCCTTTTACCCTCGGAAGATTAGCGTAAGAAATAATTATTGAGAAATTCAAGTCTTTTCTGCTGTGCATACACACATGCTAACTAGGTCACTAGTTCTACCAGTGGCTAACAGGCCATGAAAACGCAATCTATTAATTTATCATGTTATAACTATTAAATACCCTAACCTTCGCGAAAGTCGTTCATTCGCCTGAATGTCCTAATATTAAGACTCCGATTATGGCTATTGATCGTATTATTTGCCACACACCATAGTGTTTACAAAACTACATTGCATCGGGATCGAATATGCGTTATATTACAAAAAACCATACCGGAAATAATTTTCCCGAAAACCGTGACTGGGTTATGTTATAGACTCTACTACTTTTTTACACCGGTGTACACCAAGTGAAGCTAAATCAGGTTCGCCCACTATTTGTGTGCGGTGGGTTGTGAAGTTCCGGATCAAAGACAAGTAGCATAGTAAATTTTTTTTTTTTAAATTGTACTCGTATTCAACAAGTTTAGTAGGACCGATCTCATACGGATTTGGAAGTTTGGTTTCACCTGAAAAGAAAGTGAAAGTGAAACAAGGCAAATGATGTCGGGGGAGACTCTTCTTTTGAAATTCAAAGGCGCTTTAGTTGGTGCTGTACTTGGCGATTGTATAGGGTCAACATTTGAAGGATTATGGGCAAAGAGTATTGCAATCGAAAAGGTCCTTAAAAAAGTCGATAAAGTTGAATTGGGTACGTTCGATCGAAACGCAGTTCTGTTGATTTTTGGTTGCTGCATATGTATTGTAGTTTAATTACAATATTTTTAATTTTATAATTTGTTATTTTTTCCATTGATTACCTTTTAAAATTATGCTGTATGCTGTTGAATTTCTTATTGTTCAATAAAAAAAAGATTTCATTTGCGAAAAATTGGAAATTTGCATCTTTTCATTATCAAGTAAATTAATTTCATTTATTGTACAGAGATTTATATATCATAATTATTTACGGAATTATAAAACTTTCATTTCAATTTTTTAATTGCATTCAAAAACATTTACATGTTTGTATTATTATTATTTTTTTTTTGGGGGGGGGGGGGTAATTTTTGATAAATACTACATTAACTGTACCTTCAAGTACTTTTAGCAACATTTTAATTTTTAGAAGCAGAAAAGCCTGACGAAGAAGATCGAAAAGTATGGAAGTACACAGATGACACAGCAATGGCGAGAAGTGTAGCTAAATCCCTGATAGAGAAGAAGGGCCTAGATCCCAAACACATGGCACAAATGTATGAGGCTTTTTATACAAACTACAACATGTACAATTCCATACTCTTATTTTTTCTTCATGTGAAAATTTTAGTCTACTATGTGTGAAGTGTGGTTGACAATTATGGGAGAATTGGATTGAATTGTAGGTTTTCAGAGGAGTATTTTAAGGAGCCGTACAGGGGTTATGGAATGAGTGTCATCACAGTGTTTACTAAGCTTAAAGAACAAGGGTATTTGGACCCCTTCAGACCTGGAGCAGAGCAGTTTAATGGGTGTGGATCTTATGGTAATGGTGGGGCAATGCGGATTGTTCCAGCTGCTTTATTTGCCTACAAAGAAAACGATTCCCAGGCCTTGACAGTTAGTTACTGTTAATTATACCCTAGTCCCCAAAGTGGACAATTTTAATTTTTTTTGCTGATCATTATATACCTTATATAAATCTATCATTGCAACAGTAACTTGATTGGAATAGTTCAGATCATGGATACTAATCATCATATCAATTCAGCAACACTGGCTATTTTGATTAGATTATTCCACAGGGACTTAAATTGAGACAATCTTAACAAAATCAGTAATATACTATATACCCGATTTTGCTAAGATTGTCTCAAGTCCCTATGGATTGTTCCAGGCATTTGACTTGTTGCGTAATCTGATTATTTAAATAAGTTACTTCATGGTATTATGAATGAAATTAAAATCAAGAGTTAAGAAAATTGCAACAGTATGTAGTTATTTTCACAATGCATTATAACCCCCTCAATATGTACAGGATCTGGTGGAACAGATTACCAAGCTAACACACACTCACCCCTCTGCTGTGGATGGTGCACTCCTCCAGAGCTATGCTGTGGATTTGGCTCTGAGGGGATCAGGAGAATTGAAGATAGAATCATTCTGTGATGAACTTCAGAAAAGAATGAAGGACAGGGAGGAGAATGAAGCCAAGAATGCAAAACAGAGAAAAGTGGAAAACAAAGAAGACCAGCCAGACATGTGAGAATTGATTCATTTAAAATAATTTGACAGTTCATGTATTGGGGTTTTTTGTGGAGATGTGACAAAAAAGCTTTTAATTGAATGTTAAATGATGCTTATGGACATCTGCAGTCTTGAATACTTTTATACCCAAGAGCAAGTACTTCTAAATGGAAAGTAATATTTCACAGCAATGTAAAGATATTTTAAAATCAAATGGAACAACTCATGATGAAGTTCAGTAAAAAGTGCTTTTAATAATCTTAATGATAACCTTTTTTTCATGTTAAGTCTTTAACATCAAACACATTTTACACATACAGTAATTGTATGTGAAGTAGGAGATCAAGCAAGGCCATTTATTTACATCAAAGAAGGATAAGTGCATTTCATTCCAAAACACAGTTCAGTTGTATTATGCGCTCTCAAAAAAATGTTGTCTTTTTTCATCGCGGTAATTTTAACTCAAAATCTTTGTGGAAATAATGTATTGAAAATTTAAGCATGGTAATTTTTCATACGGACTTTGTTTTTTGAGCTTATGGTACTCCTGATTTTAAGCATGGCAGTATTATTCATAGAATTAATTAGATTTTGCTTTATAAATCATAAGCTAACGGCAATGTTGTCTGTTTAAAAAATCGCAGTATAATTTTATTAACAAAGCACAAAATGTCATCCCATTAAATTTATATCAGGCTTAATATATAAATCTTGCACTTAAATGTTACTATTTATATCTTCGTGTGGTAATGATTCTATTCAAGAAAGCACGAAATATTATTGCATTTTATTTTATTTTTAGCTAACAGCATTACATGTCGTCTTTATCCTTGCAGAAATAATTTTATTTTAACAAAGCACGAAATACTGTTGAATTTTAGTTTGAACAGATCGACACGGTATAAATCGTGTCTTTATACATCGAGGTAATCTTCGCAAATATCTATTTTCTACAGAGCATGAGTAATTATGACACTTAAAAGTTTTAACAGACTTCATATTTCCTTTTTAAACTCTTAATTAATTTAACAAGAGGCCGATAAATATAAGATAATTAAAGTAAAATCACATTTAACAGGCGTTTAACAATGTGTTGTAATCAACACAAGTTCATACGAAAGATAATGTACGAAGGCTAAAAATTGACCCCCGAATTTTAACAAAGAAAACAATCAAAGCCATTAATAAGGGCAGTAAATAATCAGTGCTCTAACTGTAAAAGCAGTGCTCAGGAGTTGGTAGACAATTTATTTGCCTGGAGGGGTGTTGAGATCAAGTGGGGCACGTGTTCACAACATTGGCTTCAATTGGGACATATAGTATACAGTGATGTAGTGGGGTGTTTATGTTGAAATGAATTTTCACTGCCCTATTTAAAACCCCAAACAAATGTTGATTTATTGTATTTCATTATAAAATTGCTCAATTATTTTTTTTCCCAACCGAGTGTCTGATTAGGTACATGTGTACTATGATTATGCAAGCACGTGGCAAAGGAATGTGTGAACATCTATAAATAACATCTTCAATGGCTGCCTATATGGAGACGATGAATATGCAGCTCAAATTAATTGTAACTTGTTTTTATTATCATTTAACAACAGATTATCATTATCAACAGAATATAAATATAACATTTTCAACAAGCCTATGTTCCAACAATAATTTTCCGATGTTTTAAATACAGTGATAAACAACAAGCCGAAGAAATTGCCCATGTCTCTATAGGTAATACTACAATATGTCCATATGACAGCCTTGTTTCACCTGAAAGAAACATAGGTAATCAGAGATTACAGAGCTCACCTCAATGAATGTTGTGTTTGAGTAAGGCAAAGTCCCACACTAAACTAATAATCTAGGAGTGTGCATCCCTAGATGCAACATTTATGCAATTTTGGTCTGATAGGACTTGCAGTTACTTGGGAATAGACTTATCTGAAAATTTAAAACTAGTCACTCATCCAGGAAATGTAGGTCAGATCCAGCATCTGAAATAAGTCCAGTAGTGTGCATCCTTAGATGTATTATCCATGCAAGTTTAGTCAAAACAGAGATCTGCACCAAAAACTTTAACCTGGTTACTCATTCGGAAAATATAGGTCAGATCCAGCATCCGAAGCAAGTCCAGTAGTGTGCATCCTTAGATGTATCATCCATGCAAGTTTGGTCAATATAGGGTTAATAGTTACTTTAAAATAAGACCTGCTCCAAAAACTTTAACCTGCTCCAAAAACATTAACCTGCATGGTCATTCTTTAGCTGAAATTGCAGCATCTGAAACCTTGACTGGTACAATGAAACACACTAGAAGCATCCCCCATGCATCTCTGACTAATATAGGCCATAGAAGTACTTGAAAAGAAAACTGCTCCAAAAACCTTAACCTGGGATGCCGACGCCGAGGGTATTACATAAGATCCCCCAACTTTGTTGAGGTGAGCTAAAAACTATCAAAATCCTATTGTGGTGTAAAATACGCACCCCTTCCTCACAAAAACATTTTCTAGGAAAAAAAGTGCATATTATATTCAGCCAAATACGATATTTAAAATTAAATTTTTGGTCCGCTCCATTTGATCATTACACAAAGTGATCAGGTGGAGTGGATCAAAGATCTGATTTTAATTAGATTGTATTTCATTTATGTTTCCTATCATTTTGCAGGATAAAATCATCATCAGAGTTCCCATACACAGACATTGTGGATGAAATTAAGAAATGTGCCCTGCAAGACCCCATTCCCACTAGTGAAGAAATCAGCGAAAGATTGGGTAATTTATAAGACTTATAATGTATGAACTAAACCTTCCACTGAATATTTTCATATTCAATACATTTTCTGATAAAACAACTTGGTCATGATATCTTTAATCAATCAGTGAGAATAAAAGAATAAAGTTACAATAAAAGTAAATTGAATCCTACACAGTTTTCTTGCTCATGGTTATGATTTTTGGTCACAGGAACAGACATTGCAGCATACCGATCTGTACCAGCAGCTGTGTACTCCTTCCTCAGGGCCTCCACAGAAATCAACAAACTGGAGGTAGTTAAGAATTGAATTATAAATTCATTTTCATTTTGGACATTCATTTTGTAATAACATGGACTGCTTCTGCTGACAAATTGAATAATGCTCAAAAATTTTTATGCACAGCCATGTTATGACATGATGAAGTTCGTTCGGAATTTACAATACATGTTTTTTATTTTACATTTACTGATTTCATGGTACATGTGTAGATTAATAAAATATCGCTTCTTTAGGATTTCATTTAAGACTTGCACGGCATTTCCATTCAACATTTGTGATGTCAAAATAAAATTCATTTCTAGAACCTTTTGACCTCCTTGCTCATGTTGTGGTCTTATAAATGCCAAACCTTTGAACTCACATTATAATAAAAATACATATGGAATGTAAATACGTAAAGAGAGAGGTAAAAAGTCGATACTGTGTTACATCAAAACAAAACTAACTGAGGGTAATCATACATAAACACACAGAAAAACTGGAGGTAAGGTATCACACAAACACAGAAAACTAGAGATTATCATAAACACACAGACAAACTGAAGGTAACTATAAACACCTGGAAAAACTGAAGGTACTCGAACATAAACACACAGGCAAACTGGAGATTATCATAAACAAACACAGACAAACTGAAGGTACTCAAACACACAGACAAACTGAAGGTAACTATAAACACATGGAAAAACTGGAGGTACTCAAACATAAACACACAGACAAACTGGAATTTATCATAAACAAACACAGACAAACTGAAGGTATTCAAACACACAGACAAACTGAAGGTAACTATAAACACATGGAAAAACTGGAGGTACTCAAACATAAACACACAGACAAACTGGAATTTATCATAAACAAACACAGACAAACTGAAGGTACTCAAACACACAGACAAACTGAAGGTACTCAAACACACAGACAAACTGAAGGTAACTATAAACACCTGGAAAAATTGGAGGTACTCAAACATAAACACACAGGCAAACTGGAGATTATCATAAACAAACACAGACAAACTGAAGGTACTCAAACACACAAACAAACTGAAGGTAACTATAAACACATGGAAAAACCGGAGGTACTCAAACATAAACACACAAACTGGAATTTATCATAAACAAACACAGACAAACTGAAGGTACTCAAACACACAGACAAACTGAAGGTAACTATAAACACCCGGATAAACTGGAGGTACTCGAACATAAACACACAAACTGGAGATTATCATAAACAAACTGAAGGTACTCAAACACACAGATAAACTGGAGATAATCATAAACACAGAAACTGGAGATTAACATTAACAAACACAGACAAACTGAAGGTACTCAAACACACAGACAAACTGGAGATTATCATAAACACACAAACTGGAGATTAACATTAACAAACACAGACAAACTGAAGGTACTCAAACACACAGACAAACTGGAGATTATCATAAACACACAAACTGGAGATTAACATTAACAAACACAGACAAACTGAAGGTACTCAAACACACAGACAAACTGAAGGTAATGTATAAACACATGGGAAAACTGGAGGTACTCAAACATAAACACACAAACTGGACATTAACATAAACAAACACAGACAAACTGGAGGAACTCGAACACAAACACACAGGCAAACTGCAGATTATCATAAACAAACACAGACAAACTGGAGGTACTCAAACATAAACACACAGGCAAACTGGAGATTATCATAAACAAACATAGACAAACTGAAGGTACTCAAACACACAGACAAACTGAAGGTAACTATAAACACATGGAAAAACTGGAGGTACTCAAACATAAACACACAAACTGGACATTAACATAAACAAACACAGACAAACTGGAGGAACTCGAACACAAACACACAGACAAAGTGGAGATTATCATAAACACAGACAAACTGGAGGTACTCGAACACAAACACACAGAGAAAGTGGAGATTATCATAAACACAGACAAACTGGAGGTACTCAAACACAAACACACAGACAAACTAAAGGTACTCAAACACACAGACAAACTGGAGATTATCATAAACAAACACAGACAAACTGGAGATACTCAAACACAAACATACAGACAAAGTGGAGATTATCATAAACACAGACAAACTGGAGGTACTCAAACACACAGGCAAAGTGGAGATTATCATAAACACAGACAAACTGGAGGTACTCAAACACACAGACAAACTGCAGGTAATCATACACACACAAACTGAAAATCATATACACACATACACACACAGACTGGAGGTATTTTTGCATAAATGCACACACAAAGTGGAGGTAATCTTAGACACATACACAAAGATGAGGTAATCGTACACAAACACATAGGGGTCAGGGTTAGGCCACAGTAATGAATCAAAGTTTTACAATGTAATAGAGGAGAATCCTTGAAGGACTTTTCATGACAGGGATCAGAAAGGTTAACTATGCAAATATTCCACATAAATAAATATACTGATTGAATTGTTCATTCATGGCCCACAAGCTGAGTTGTGCAAAATAGAGGATAAAGTCTTGTGTATTGGAAATAATGTACATGTTTTTGGAAATTAAAATATTCCTTCTCAAGGACAACAAGAACTTTTACCTATTATAAATGCAGAAATATTCATTAAGAATTTAATTTCCTTTACTTTGTTGATAAAATCAATTAACGAAATTAAATAACAGGGGTTCAAAATTTTACTTATTACAACTATATTCTACCAATAAATGGCAAGGATTAATATGGCATGTCAGATGTTGCAATATTCGATTTTTTTCATTTGTATTGTAAAATTTTCCATTTGTATTGTATAATTTTTATTAGTATTGCAAAATTTTCCATTTGTATTGTATAATTTTTCATTTGTATTGTATAATTTTTATTTGTATTGTTTAATTTTCCATTAATTGTATTCTATAATTTTCCATTTGTATTGCATTAATTTTATTTGTATTCTATAATTTCCCATTTGTATTTGCATTGTATAATTTTCTATTTGTATTCTATAAATTTTCATTTGAATTGTATAATTTTTTATTTGTATTCAATATTTTCCATTTGCATTGTATATTAATTTCTTATTTGTATTGTAAAATTTCTTATTTGTATTCGATAATTTTTCATTTGTATTGTATCCGAGGATTGTTTATTTTTTTCGTTATGAAGGACTTCATTGGTCAAGATTTAGCCCATTTTCTCAAGCCATGGTCCAGAGTTCACAATAGCTCTCTCCCAGTATGGGAGAGGATTGTACAATTTGGCCACAGTTTGCAACGATGGATTTAGCTTGTATTGTGTTGAAAATGAGGGAGATGTTCCAGGTGCTCTTGAAAGCAAACTGATGTATTTACGTACATATTAGAGGACAGCCATTTAGATAAAAAGCTAGTGCTGGCAGATTGCAAATAAATAATCTGTCCTAGAAATGTTGTCTGAGAAAACAAATGATTAATAATTAGAGCTTGACCTCAGCCAGACCCCCCCCCCCCCCCCCTTTACGAAATGGAGTTTTCGTGTTTGGGCAAATTTTCTTCTTCTTTTCTTGTTTCTGGTCAACTTGGACATAAATATTATCTCCTGCAAGAGCATGGAAATAGATAATCTAATTCGACTAGATTTGCCAGACCACCCCCACCCCCCGAAAAGTGCTCATTCAAACGGCTGTGATTTGCTGCAAATTTAACAAATTGCTATCTTTTCCGACCACGATTTTAACCTGCTATACAGTACCTTAATAGCATCAGCGCAAATACATGTATAGGAATCCAGTTCACTTGAAACATATCTCACTTGTTTGAACACTGTTCTACAAAAAAAACTTAAACTTGACCAACGAAAAAAAAATAAAACAATCTCTCGGATACAATACAAATGAAAAATTATCAAATATAAATAAGAAATTATCGAATACAAATAAGAAATTATACAATGCAAGTGGAAAATATGGAATGCAAATGGAAAATTATACAATACATATGATTTTTTTACAATACAAATGGAAAATATAGAATACAAATAAAAAATTATACAATTCAAATGGAAAATTATACAATACAAATGGAAAATTATACAATACAAATAAAAATTATACAAAACAAATGGAAAATTTTACAATACAAATGGAAAAGATTGAATATTGCAATGTTTGACATGCCATAGATTAAAATTGATTTCAAATTGTTTATTGTGGGTTAAATTTGAGGTTGTAAAAGGGTTTTGTTTACACATTCTGTCAGGAAAATAAAGTGACTGAGAGAGCATGATGGCCCTTAAGCCTTTGTTTTTTTTGTTGTTTTTTTTTTCAATCATCTTTGTACAAAGATTCAGGCTTTGACCATCATTTTTTTCTCTCAGTAAAATTTTCTCACTCCTTTCCACCACTATCAAACAAAATACAAGGGAAATAATTTACAACTCCTTGAATATATTTTTTTCTTGGAGTGAAATTATCTTTTTTACCATTTTTTAGGGCAGAAATCCATTTGAAAAGACCATCATTTTAGCCATTTCCCTGGGAGGTGATACAGACACCATTGCTACAATGGCTGGTGCAATAGCAGGTGCTTGGTATGGAATAGAGGCTATCCCAAAATCCTGGCAAACAAGCTGTGAAGCTGTTGATGATGCATTGACATTTGCAACACAGCTTCACAAAATGAATACCTTGGATAAGTGATTTGACAATACCTAGCAGAACTGGAATGATCTCTTTCTTTAATACAAGATCTGTTCATTATTGATACCTGTAGGAAAGCTGCTTGAACAAATTCACTAGTGTGAACTAAAACTATTTTATCAGTGCAGGATATCTTTATAATTCTAATGGCATTAAACTCTAAACATGCTGTATTTTTACTTCGTCAAACTAATTCATAATTTAAGAAGAAAATATATCTTGCTTTACACTGACTGTGATACAATTTTATTAATGCAAATACTTGTACCTTTCATAAATAAAATACATCCTTTTAAAAAAGAATTCAGTTTTCATTTACATGAACAAGTACTGGTATGGGTATTAAAATACTTGTAAATTAAGACACAGTTCTTTTTAGAACTGTTTCTGTGGTCTTTTATGTAAAAGTTTATGACTGACATGTAATGTCAAGGTCTTGGAACACTGATGATAGTAAAACAGCTTCAGGCAATGAAGTCTAATGGTCTGTTGAATCCACCTCTTCTGTTCATATATTGTCTACAAATAGAATTTTACTTTAACAACATGGTAAGAAAAGCATCAAAATTTTCTACAGATAGATTTTAGACAGTCTTTCATGCTTAGATTTCCAATAGCCCAGGAAATTCTGAGATGTGGAATCCACAACAAAAAGAATTAAACTAAACTTATATTATCTGGAAGAAATTTATAAAGTTTGCCTTCAAATGTCTACAGCTATATCAGCAACAGTTTATACATGTATGTCTACATCAAGTTTATTGTTTTACTACAAGTATACATTTATTTATCATAAATCAATTTGTGCCATGCCAAACAAAAATTTACCTATATCGTCTTTTCTTTGGTATATTGGCAACATAAATATCATTCCCATCTACTTTTTTACCCTGTAAATGAAAAGAATTTTAATTACATGTATGTCAAAATACTCATGGTGAATACAGGGTATTCAATTTTTTGAAACAGAAAATGTTATTCTTGGTCCAATAGATTCCTTATTTTGTGCGAGTACTTCATATTATGAACTGACTCTTAGGCAACAAATTGAACATTAAATTGCCAGTGGACTGTTTATGGAAGAGTTTTTACATGCTTTGCAGCAATAAAAGGATAAAAGCGGGTAATTTAATTTTGTGAGTGGTGCCTTGGCAAAAATTCCTCATGTATAATTAGGATTCTACAGTTATGTATTACATTAAAAATAACCTTTGTGGAGTCAAAATTTCCAAATCCCATAATTTTCATCATTTCTGCTTCATCCTGTGGTAGTCCTTCAAGCTCCGCTTCTGCAGCCATTCAAAAAGTAAAAGATTACATCTGACATTTAGATTTACTGTGTTTGTTATTGAATTGTTTTGAAGTAAGACATTTTGAGTGTATTTGGTGGATAGATAATCACAGCATTTAAATTTCACTGTGTCTCTTGAAAAACAAAACTGTGAAATAAACACTGTATCAGAAATAAACAAATATACTAAATAATAAGGATACTGATTCAAAAATTGACTTCAAGACGCAAGATCAGCCAAGAAAAAATCAAAGCTGCATACAAATTTAAATGATAAGAAAATGCATAATTTGAATTATTTTTTTTCTCTGGAAACACAGGTACTTGTGGACAGAACCAAGGTCCTTGTCACAGTAGGTGCTGGCACAAAAAAAATCCCTCACTAGTCAAAGGCTGTAAGTGCCAAGTACAGGTCTAAATTTGCAGCCCTCCACCGGCAAGTGGTGGCATCTTATTACGAGTGAAAAATTTTCAAAAGGGACGTTAACCAACAAACACAAAACGTCTGGAAAATGTAGGTCAGATCTAGCATAAGAAGCAAGTCTGGTAGTGTGTATCCCTAGATGTATCATCCATGCAAGTTTGGTTAAGAAAGGGCTTATAGTTACTTGACAATGGACTGTTCCATAAAACTTTAACTGGGACATACCAATGCCAACTCCAGGTGTAAAGCTTATACTCATATTGACTTCATCAAGGTGAGTTAAAAGTCCAACACAGCCCCTTATGGAGCCTACATCCATGATCTTAAACTTTTCAAGCAAGATAAGAATTAAAGAGCATTAGCATCAAAATACTGGTAAGTTTTACCAGTACTTAAATAACACATCAGCAGTTTAAAATCATAGTTTGAATCCTTACCAGTTACACTAGGTTTTTGATGAACTACTTTTTCAGCTGTTGTTGATTCTCTGTCCTTGTGCTTTTCTTTTCTTTCTCTACAAATAGTTTAATAACAGATGTAAAACTTACTCAATGAATTTTGTTCAAAATAAAATAACATTTTGAATTTGTTTATAATAATAGTTTAAAACACTTGAGATTTTGCAGAGCCAAACATTTAGCAAGAAAGTTGAAAAGATAAATCAATCTGATGCATAAACCTGTGCAATATAACATGGTATAATATGTATAATTGAGTTTGATGACTATATTTCATTTATACAAGACTAGATGAATTGAATTTATAACACTACTGACAGAAAATATATTGTACTTTCTACTGACAGCCTACAGGCTTATAGAAGGAAAAAATACTTTGTTCAAAATCACACAGGATGTAAATGTACGTCTCCACCCCCACCCCCACCCCCTTTTTGTAAAAACTTGAAAAATAACAATTTCATTTAATTGACGTTTATTGTGAAACCTGTTATATACATGTAATGTTATGGATATTGTACTTCTGGTGCTCTTACTTCACTTCCGCCAAGGATAAAAGGAGCGAATACACATGTATGCACATTTTACTGATAAATTGACTAGGGGGGGGGGGGGGGTTAAAAAGTCACAGGTACTTGGGTCTTGGTTTATAAATATGCATGTACCTTATTGATATGCAAATCATGTACTCTACCTTTTTTACATATCAATAAGGTAACCGGTACATACATATTTATATACCAAGACCCAAGTACCTGTGTAAAAATAGCTGCTTAACGCCCTATGAATAGGCCAAGTATATGATACAAAAGACTGTATTCAGAAAAAAACTGAAATGTATTGATTAAAGCACAAAATTTTACAGCTTTAATTATATTTGAACAATATCTTATTCATTAATTTTCTCTTTTCATGTAAGCAAGTTTATTACGAAGTACAAATTGTACTTGTACTTCGGGTTCGTTGCCACGATGCTCTCAGTAAGGAAAATACAAATTTTACCGATAAAGTTACAAATTTTACCGATAAATTTATTAGAAAAACCTACTACATATATGTAATAGTCTTTCGATACATAAATATATTCACAACTTATAGTGTTATCAATGATTTACCATTATTTCAATGACCATTCACACAAAACTCTTTTTTTATTTTCAAGCAGCTATAATCGCCTTGTTTTTCTTTTTAACTTCGGGCTCGATGCTATCTGATATTCTAGAAGCTTCCGTCAATATTAAGATCGGCGAATGACGAAAGTAACTTGCACATTTCCCTTTTTAATCAGTTATCAAAACTTATTTCTTTTATATCATTTAAATCAAGTTTTGATTGAATAATAAAGTGATGACGTTTTATGAAATAAATAAACGATTGCTTGTTGTCAGTTTCATTAAAAACTGCCAGTAACTTAGATCCGCCAACCCGGAAACGCCACCGTACTCACGTTTTTGCTATTTCATGGCTGTTTATAGAAAATAAAAGTAGACTTTTAATTTAATGTACGACACTTACTTTGCGAGTGAAATCTAAATATAGTTTACGGACATCATCTTGTATATAGTGTATTGTTAGAGGAGTAAGTAAGAACTCTGGTGCAGCCGTTTCGGAGTTTATTTGCAAAATTTATTAATTTATAAGTATAGATTTTTACCTCTATACAGGTATGTCACTAATGAAAGTATGATCTCTATATGTCACTAATAAGAGTTTGATCTCTCTATGTCACTTGATATCCATATAACACTTATAAGAGTTTGATCTCTATGTGTCACTCATGAGAGTTTGATCTCTCTATGTAACTAATAAGAGTTTGATCTCTCCATGTCACTAATGAAAGTTTGATCTCCACATGGCACTAATGAGTTTGATCTTTATATGTCACTGATGAAAGTTTGATCTCTATATGTCACTAATGAAATTTTTAACTCTATATGTCACTCATTAGAGTTTGATCTCTCTATGTCCCTAATGAAAGTTTGATCTCCATATGACACGAATAAGAGTTTGATCTCTATGTGTCACTCATGAGAGCTTGATCTCTATGGGTCACTAATAAGAATTTGATTTTCTATATGAAATGTGAAGATAATGAACAGTGATCATGCTCAAAAGTCCATTTAAACAAAACATATTGTGAGCAAAGCTAACAAGGATCTCTGAAAACAGCCTCTTGACCGGTCCCACCTGCCATGTTCCCCTTGTCATGATCAGGAAAAATTTGCAGACAATTCAGTGTAAATTGTTTCTAATAAGCTGATTTTATTAAGAATATCTTGGTCACATGAAGCAAGAAGGATCTGCACGGCTCTACCTCTCTATGTCACTAATCAGCGTTGAATCTCTATTGTCAATAACATACAATTATTGCATGATCGTGAGGGAAATATGAAGATTTATTCAGCCAAGAAAAATCATATTCCCCAAGGGCTTTGCCCGAGGGAAATATGATATTTTTTTGGCTGAGTAAATCTTCATGTTTCCCGAACATTCTTGCAATAAATTGTTTATTATACCAAAACAAGCAAAAACTTTAAAAATAAACATAAACTTTCAAATTTCGCACCGCTCTTAAATTCACTTTCAATTTTATCAAAGTGTTGCTGAAACAATTTACAGAAGTCCATCATCATTTTTGTGACGTGAACCGGGCTATTGTGACGTCTACCACTCTCGGGAGTTTTCGTTCAATGAACGATAACTGTTGCGGGAAAATGCATTAAGTCTCTGAAAAGGTTGAATATGATGAAAAGCATAATGACGCCAGGGAAATATGAAGTTTTATGGCCCTGTCACGTGATAATCTAGAACCAATCAGATAATGCATTGTATAGAATAATTATAATGAGGTATAATAATTAGAGTTTAACCTTTATATAAACACTTATAAGAGCTTGATCTCTTTTTGTCATTAATAAGAATTTGATCTCTATATGTAACAATTAAGAGTTGGATCTTCGTATTTATCTAAGAAGAGTTTGGTCTCTATATGTCACTAATAAGAGTTATCTCTATATCACCTATGAGGGTTTGACCTATAATCTTTCTCTTAAAGGAGATTGATCACAGTATTTCATTCATGAGAGTTTGACCTCTATATGTTACTAATAAAAGATCAATCTCTATATGGCACTTAATAGTGTTTGATCTCTATCTGATGTGAGTAAATTTATAATGTACAGTAAAACAAAAACAGTTAAATTACTCCGCTATATCCATAATACGTTATAACCGTATAAGGAATTTGTAAAATTTATATAGCTGGGGATCCAAAAAAACTTCGCTATATCCGTGAATTCGCTATATCCGTGTTCGTACTAAACGAGTTTTACTTTATAACTGATTTTGATCTCTATATGTCACTAATGATCCTACTTGTGTCTTGGTGACCTAGATCTGTGTTCCCTGTGTTCCCTGGATCTGTGAGGTGATCTGGATTTTCTTCTGGGAGATCTGGATCGGCTCCTTCTGTGTCCTAAAGGACCATAAAACTTAATGTATTTAGCATCAACATAAGTCAAACATACCCCTGCTTCTGTCTATTTATGATTTAAAGTCAAGTTCTAGTAAAGGAAAGGTGTCTACAGATTTCTCAAATTTGAGAAATAAATTCCTTTAGTGATGCTTTTATAACCATAGCTTGGTAAAATAAGGTGTATTGAGACTTAATTTTTTGGTAAACACAACGAAAAAACATATTTTAAACAGTCATTTTGAATGAAAAATATAGAAAGCAGAATGATATAGATTTTGGACTTTTTTTATCAAACAAAAGAAACATATCAATTTCCTAAAGTCTCTCAGAAAATGGTAATTTTTATGTTCTTGATCTCTTCTTTCAAATAATTTAAAATTGAATATAGGTATAGATGGGATATATTTTGACATGATTTCAAATAAATAATTTTCCACATAATTCAAGTATAGCAGTAAAGTAAGGGAAAGAGCAAGTTCAGATTATAACGTCATATGGATCTAGCACCATGCATTTGTATTAACTCATTTATTAGATCTTGACCTTAATTTTTTCCCTAGATTTTTAAATTATGTCTATTTCAGCAGCTTAATGGCATTTCCCATAGTGATATTTGAAAACTTGAATTCAGCTTTTAAGATTGAGTTTTTTCTTTCCAAAGAAAAAAGCAACATCTTCATAGTAATTCATATTCCATTACCTGTGAATGTCACTCTGCTATTATACAAAAATTAAAGCTTTTATTTACTTACGTCTTCTCTCCCTTTCCCTGGAGGATCTCCTCTCTAAAATGATCAGATAATCTCACATTAGTCAAGCAGAGTACAAAGAGCAAACTAAAAACTACATCATAACATCAAGATTACATTTACCCTGGTATTTTTTTTTTCAGACCCAAAATTAAAGTTTTATATTTAAAAAAAAATCACTTATTTCAATTTCTAAACACAAAAAATTAAAATAAATTTGCATATTTTAGACTACCTAGTATGATGGCAGTATTTACATTCACACATATTTTGTTGTAGTCTTTGTCCCCAGTCCGAATCATATTTTCATTTAAGATTGTTTAATCAACAAAAAATTATTTTAAAGAATAAAATTTCAAATTTTTAGGTTTTAGTCTTCAAAGATCAAGTTACTCTAATATAAAATTAATATAAATTGTATTTTGAATTGTGTGAAATTCTTTGTAAAAATAAAGTGTGCTTTGCATTATGATTATTGGTCAGAACAAAATCACCTTGCTAGTTCCAAATCATGGAGATGCTGTTATTACTAGTGTCTTGAATGATTTGGTCAGACATTCACTCAGTTCTTGGACATGGTCTTTTTTAGATACTAAATTGTCAAGTTGAATAACATAATTGAAAACTTTTTTGCAGTACAAGTTACTGTGCTCAAAAGGTAGACTGTTGATCACACTAAGACAATACCTCTGTGGCAGTCAGATGGGTTCAATCACCTGGATAGCTCAGTTGGTAGAGCACTTGTCTGGAGATTCAGGGGGCCTGGGTTCGAATCCTGGACTGATCTGTCACATTTTTCTCCTCTCCTGTTACATTTGAAGCCCTGCCATGCCCTGGAAGTGACAGGTGCAAGACCTGCCAGGGAAAACCCTGGGTTGGCATCTTTGGGGGCAAAGACCTTTATGGAGGGAGGAATGTGGCGGTAAGATGGGTTCGATCACCATCAGCCAGATAGCTCATATTGGTCGATACATGTATTTTGTAAAGTTTTTTGATGTGCAAGGTCAATCTAATTAAAATAAGATGTTCTGAATTCACTACCGCTTCTCAAACATCTAACAGCATCCCATTCGGGATCACGTCAGAGCGACCTTTCAATTAGCCAATGAAATCGCTGCCTTCAAAACCTTGGCTTATAGTTCGGATGCGTTTCTTTTTTTCACTGCCAAACCTAAATGCCCGAGGAGTTTCGTAGTAAACAAAATATGCATGGCAAAGGGCGTGCTATGTATGAATGTGACGTGCAGGATATCTTGTATAGTTTGTGCATTTTCGTTTGCGTTATTCAGGTAAGAATGCCAGATTGGTGGATTATACATTCAATTTATACCAAAATTACTTTAATTCAAGGTAAGACAGACTACTTCATGTACCAGGCATCAATAATGTTAAGATGTAGCCGTGGAACTAATTTAGAATTGTATACAGAAGAATAGGGTATCGTATATGATTGACCAAAATTTTCATGTTTATTCATAATTGAAAGGTTGCTCTGACATGACCCTGAATGGGATGTTGTTAGATGTTTGAGAAGTGGTAGAGGATTCGGAACATCTAATTTTATTTAGGCTGTTCTGTATGTAAAAGGAAAGTAATATAATAAGAATATACCATTTAATTTTTTGTTGAAAATATTGCAATACATATTGCAATACAGTTAAAGATATCGCAATATGAAATCTCTAGCAAATACCCAGCCCTACAAGCTTAAAAAGGATTGTTATGATTAATTTAGCAAATGTTTTCCATTCTTCTCTTTTTGTTTTCTTCAAAATCATTTCGGTTTGCTACATTGCAACTATATGGGAGGTACTCTTACTATGGTGCAACGGGAAAGGAGAAAATGTATGGCTGGACCAGGAATCGAACACAGGACCCCTGCATCACTAGTCAGGTGTTCTACCAACTGAGCTACCAAGGCCGGTATCCACGGCCCAAACCATTACATTCCTCCCTTCTTAAATTTTCTTCACCCTTGAAGACACAACCCAAGTTCTTATTTGCCCCTGGCAGGACTTTCACCTGCAAGTTCCGGAGTGTTCAACAGCACCAAATTGTGTAACAGGTAAGGAGAAAATGTATGGCTAAACCGGAAATCAAACCCGGGATCCCTGTATCACTAGACAGGTGCTCTACCAACTGAGCTACCCGGGCCAATATCCATGGCCTAAACTACACTAGGCATATTTATACTCCTTTACGGATAGGAACTTTCATACGATGTCATGAGATGTCACAGATGTCCCATGCGGCACAAGTGAAGTGTAAACTGTAAAAAGAAATGCGCTTGCCCCAATGGTTATATCATTAACATATTATTATCGCCAAACCCCCTAACTCTGTCACTACCCTAACTCCGTCACTTTCGGGAAACTCCGCGCTGTTTGTAAACGAGTGCGATTGTGATGTCATTTTTTACATGCTGAAAATCTACAATCAAATGCCAAGATACTATAACAGTCAAGTTCAAGAATGCGTCAAAAATAAATAACAATTACACGTGGTCTATTGTATCTATCATATTTTATGTGAAATCAGTAAGTACTTTTTCCTTTATGCGATATTCCATCGATACCTCCGACATGTGCATCAATATGCTCATTTTTACATGTCAGTTTTATTTATGAAGGTCTTTGCCAAAGGATTAATATGACAAACCATATTGAATACGGTTAAAAATATTTTATTTTTTGTCTCAATTTGCCCTAATATCCCACACGTTGAAGATAACGTAGAGTGACGTTATTACATCTAAAATACGTTATACTAACGTTATTTTTTTCTGTTGTTGATACTTTTCCTAAAATACAATTTAATACTATTAAACTAATTTTCTATGTTTACAAGTTTAAGATGAATGGAGAAAAAAACTAAGCTGGAAAAAAATTTCTTATTAATATGTTGACATATTGTAGAGGGCCCTGGTGACGGAGTTAGGGTTCACTGGACGTAATATACACGAATGTGATACGCGTTCTATTTATAGTAGTTTTGTATAAGCCCAATTACTGATTTTTTTAAAAATAGTTTTGAAAACAATGTGTAAGTTCATTACAAAGTGTAGCAAACAAGAAACAAATCAAAAAAAAAAAAATAATTGGGAGAGTAACCTGGCGTGTTTTCCGCTTATGATGACGGAGTTTGGGTTGTAGGGGATAGCTTTTTATTAATATCAAATTTGCATAATATTCTATCATTCTTCAATAAAACTGTTGTGAAAATCTTGAAAATTGTATTTTCATTAATATTATTTACCTCTTCTGGGGGACCTCGAACGAGATCTTGATCTTCTTGGCATAGTCTACTGCTTTAGCTGATCACTTCGAGTTAAAAACTGAAAATTCTTACAGGAAATGATTAATATACACATAAATGAGAAAACCATAATACGATCTCTAAAAATCCGTAAAAATGAAAACTATACCATCTCCAAAACAAATCCCTATAGCCTAGATAAAAACGTTATTTATAAAATTGCATACCCCCCCCCCCCCATACACACTCAAACATAGATTCACACACACACACAACACGGGGGAAAAATTAAAAAAAAAGTAGGCCGTGGTAAATAACATCTTCGTTTTACATCCCTTATTTAAGTCTTTGAACCCCCCCCCCCCCAGTCCAAATAAAACGACCCCCACCCTCAAAAAAAAAAGAAAAAAAGAAAAAAAAACTGTAGAATGAATGAAAATTGAATGTATTTGCGATATTGCCTTAAAAAATTGTTGATAATTTGACAAACATGGGTGTGTGTTTTTCCCTAACCATCAAGGGACGTAAAACAAAGAACTAATAATTTACTGTAGCCTTTTGAACACTCTCTTTAATGCCTTATTTAAGTTAGTTCTTTCAAAAGATGATCCAAAAATGGTATGTAGCCAAATAATAGACGGAATCTAATTGAATATCGCATGTTACCTATTACATGTATATATATATATATATATTTATTACATTTTCAAAAGTGAAATACTGTGATTTATTCATTGAATAAAAGTGATATTCTCTCACAGTGTGAAAGGATACCAAAATGATATTCTCTCACAGTGTGAAAGAATATCAAAGTAAGTAAAAAATAATCTCTGGACTGTCATAAGATAGAGATAGTAACTAACGACCTTGATAGAGCTAAAACTGCAAATTTCTTCCCACATATGTTGCTAAAAGCCATGCTATGTAATGTTTTCAATCTCAGAACTGCTAAGCTGTGACATCTCAACCGCTCAACTATGACGTTAAGTCTATGACACTTTGTTAAGAAAAGACAGGGGCAAAGAGAATATCAAAGAAAATGTAATAAACAGAAATTCAATGTTTTGTAGATGAATATGGAATTTATTTCACGAGTGGGACAGGATTTTTTGATATTTTCACGAGTGCGAAGCATCTACAAAACATTGAATATCCTCTATATATATATATATATATATATATATATATATATATATATATATATATATATATATATATATAGGATCTCCCATGATTTGTAGTTGGATATGACGAGCCTTGGCGAGGGGATAAAAACACACAACGAGTTGGATAAAAGTCATATCCAACTACAAATCATGGGGGATTCTTTTTATCCCATGTTTAATACCTCACAACCAATGTTTTACACTGTTCATATAGGACTCCACTTTAGTTTACTTCATCACGCTAACGCAAAAACCATTGTGACGTCACAACTGCACTTAACTGTGAATTATGAAAAAATTATCCAATGAGTCATATCCACGGGATAAAGGGGTAAACATGGGATAAATAGAGGATATTCAATGTTTTGTAGATGAATATGGAATTTATTTCACGAGTGGGACAGGATTTTTTGATATTTTCACGAGTGCTTCGCACTCGTGAAAATATCAAAAAATCCTGTCCCACTCGTGAAATAAATTCCATATTCATCTACAAAACATTGAATTTCTGTTTATTACATTTTCTTTGATATTCTCTTTGCCCCTGTCTTTTCTTAACAAAGTGTCATAGACTTAACGTCATAGTTGAGCGGCAGGGCCCTCTGTGTAAACAGAGATTGTCTCAAGAGTGAAATAAATTCCATATTCATCTACAAAACATTGAATTTTCTGTTTATTACATTTTCTTTGATTTTCCCTTTGCCTCTGTCTTTTCTTAACACAGTGTCATAGGCTTGACGTCATAGTTGAGCGGTTGAGACGTCATAGCTTAGCAGTTGTGTGATTGAAAACATTACGTACATAGCATGGATTTTAACAACATATTTGGGAAGAAATTTGCAATTTTAGCTCTATCAAGATGCTTATTTACTATTTCTATCTTATGACAGGCCAGAAATTATTTTTTGCTTACTTTGATATCCTTTCACATTGTGAGAGAATATCATTTTGGTATCCTTTCACACTGTGAGAGAATATCACTTTTATTCAATAAATAAATCACAGTATTTCACTTTTGAAAATGTAATATATATATATATATATATATATATATATATATATATATATATATATATATATATATATATATATATATATATATATATATATATATATATATTAAAATAAGTAGAATATTTTCTACCGTTCACTCAGTTAAAAACGAAAAGAGAGGGATAGGGAAGACAAAGCAAATGGAGAAAAGGCAATTTGTAAGATTCTATCTATCGCAAGTGAAATGTGTAAACAGAGATTGCGGCCGATCGAGATGTTTTGAAGTACGTTTATATATTTCAAAACGTACTACAGTGTAGTTAGACGTAAAATATCTATTCCATGAAATACAGCAAAGAAAACATGACTTGTTTCTCTCTCTCTCTCTCTCTCTCCACTTGGCAGAAAATAAAAGGGGTCCAATTAACTACATTCTCATGGCCATACGCACATACAGGAAAAGTATTTTGCATAGAAAAGGTTTTCTTTTAATTATACCTTCCTCCTCATCTGCTGCTTGAGATAAGTCACATCAGTGATTCTTTCCTTAGATATGACCTCCTCTCCCAGCCAAAGAAATTCACACACGGTGTTTACATTTTAACAGCGAGAAAGAGCCTTGAAACTCGCAGAATAGAATAGAATATTTTAGGAATGACTCTAATTCTTGGCCAAATTATTCGAGTATAACCTGGTTTGGGTCAGTTTACGCTTTATAATCCGCGAAGCGGATTATAAAACAGCGTAAACTGACCCAAACCAGGTTATACTCGAATAATTTGGCCAAGAATTAGAGTCATTCCTTATAATTTAATTTTAAAATCATTAAATAACTATGGGTGTAAAATTTCGTTGCTTTTTATTAGTTCAAATTTGCCGCTCAATAATACAACCGTAGTAACGGAAGTAACGGAAGTGATGGGAAGCGAGGGGAGGTAAAAACTGATACATAGGCCTAGCAGCTTGTTTACATGTGGAAAGATCGAATTATTGTTTGAAGTTAAAGGTACATTTATTAAATCTGGAATTTCCCATGAATCCCGAGGACTGGAAATGAGAGGATTGTATGGATACAGATGAATCAGCTGGTTGTCAAGGGGGTGGGTCCCCATACCAAACCAGGTTATACAGAAATAATTTGTATTCCTTTTTGGATATTAACCAATCAGAGGCTAGAATACAAACAAAATTAAATTATATTTATTTACCAATCATGACCCCACAGAAGACATATAACATAACTTCATTTTTTAATAAATATCCGTGCCTCGTGGTCATATGCATTGATGGTTTACTGTTTGAATAATATTTAAATGACGCATTTAAATATACTCATAATTAAAAAAAAAAAGATTGAGAACCATTTATATTATGCATAATAATTACAAGACGATTTCAATAAACGTCGGCTTTTTTCTGTTCAGAATACGTGTAAATCATGATTCAACAATTTATAATACATTGTAAATAAATAAGTTCATATATTACTCAAAAATATTTCCGAAGCATAAATTATTAAAATTAATTTCACTGTATGACAAGATAATTTAAGAGAAATGTACTTTATGTACACTGAAAAAAATCGTATCAATACAGCTTCTTTACTGTTACATGTATATGCAGTAAGCATGCAGTCGCCACAAACCCCAGACAAGGAGGACTATTAACTAAATGCCGATCATTTTATAGCATCCAGTACCTGAGTTAAATTCCCTTGATTGACGGGGGTTTATGGACCAGGTACATCTGAAGACGGTGCTTATTTTCTCACGCAGGCTTTAAGGAATGGGTCATTTTATTGTGTCCATGAGGTGAGCATCGACCTGTGAGTAGGTGATAATCAGCATAACTTCACAGTTTCTACTTTGCACAATCTTGATACACATTTATCACGGAAACTATCATGAGCATTAAACTTTTCTTTGAAACATGCCCCGACTACGATCAATTTTTAAACCGAGGCAGGCTTCTGACAAATAAGTAGATGGTACAAGAATTTCAACTACCTCGTTTAGATTCAGCATTTCGTAAATTCTATGGTCGTTATAATAACCTTGTTCGCAGCCTATCGTTGGATCGTATTATGACTGACATATTTCATATAAATTGCTAGGCCTTTGTTTTTATATTAAAGGATGTTTCCAGTAAAGCTCAGTATTGTGGCCCCTTTTTCCAACACCTCTGATATCGTTAATTTAAATTTAAACTTGAACTATTTCATATGTATCCCTGTTTGATATTTTTGTTGTACAATACATATGTACTTGCGAAAAATACAAAATTGAAAAAAATGAAAAATTGAAAATTGCGGTATGCTTTCATTAAAAGTAATTAAAAATGCCCACTTGGTGAGTGTTAGGTCCGGGATGTTGCGCTCGACCGAGTTAAATTTTAGATGAGTCTCATGAATACAAACTCCATACAGTGTCAATTCTCCGGGACTACTTTCCCACAGGCGCTTGTTTCTGTAATATTTTTTTAACACAAAATACCATCAAACCCCTTAACTCCGTTACTTTCGGGAAAAATGCGATTGTGACGTCATTTTTTGCATGCTGAAACTCTACAATCAAATGCCGAGATACTATAACAGTCAAGTTCAAGAATGTGCCAAAAACAAATAATAACTACACTTAATTTATTGTATTTATCACATTTTATGTGAAATCAGTAAGCACCTTTTCCCTTATGTGCTATTCCATCTGTGCGTACCACATGCTCATTTTCATGTCCTGACAGCCATTTTTATGAAGGTCTATTTCAGATCGAGGTCTAACTTGACAAACCATGTTGAATATGGCTAAAAATATTTTATTTATTTTTTTGGTCTACGATTGCTTTAATGCACTACACGTTGAGATAATATTAGAATACGTATTGTCAACGTTAACTATTTCTTTTATTGGTGCCTTTCTTAAAATACAATTTTATACTATAAATCTTAAAAACCATTTTTTTATGTTTCCAAATTAAAGAAAAAGATATTAAAAAATACAGAGATTTTGAAATATAAATCACATTTACAGACAAGATAGGGAATAAGAAATATAAATATGAGCATTGAATTATTATCATTTTTTGAAAGATGTAGTTTATTACCACCTTTTTCAAGTTGAAACCCAAATGACGTCACAGTGGTTTTTATGACATCTACATCTAAGGGTAAAAGTGAGCGTGCATAACTTATGATGTCACAATAGTTTTTCATGACATTACAAGACTTTTGTTTATTTACCGAGACAACGCCTTGAAAGTAAAAGCAGAAATGTGTCAAAAAGTCATATGTCCTAAATGCAATAAGCCTACTTGGCAAGGTAAGTATACATTTTTTTTTTATATATATCTTTACACTAAATTTGCTTTATGTTGCTGCATTAACTTTATAAAGTGTTGTTGCATTAACCTTTGACTTTGAGTTTAGGGGTCCGTTCAACAGCATTGAAATAACTTTTTTGGTTCCGACATCAAGTTTTTAACTTTATTCAAAATCTAACACTCAGCAGCTAGGCTAGCTGTCGATTCAAAAGAAAGCTGCTAGGTTAGCGGCTACGATCTTGAAAAACTAAAAAAAATAATTCAAATATATTAACTTTTATTAGTTTCATCTAAATTTTCATCAATTTAATCAACTATAACATGAATATAAGAGCATTACATGTAATTCACAGATAAAGCATTTTGCGGATAGGTCTTCTATCTCAAAATTCCAAGAATGACGTCACAAAATAATTTTATTCGATTGCATTGAATTTTAGTGCTTTCAATGATTTTGTCGTCGGGTATCATTTTAATATGCTCGTTTGCAAAGGTGAATACATCTAGATATGGTAGGAAAAAAGAATCAAGTTTCTCTTCCTCTGCACATTTGCCTAGTTTTTCAAAAAGTTTGATCGTTATATCTAATTGACTGACATCTTTATCGCCTTTTAGATCAACTGCAACATAAAACAAACAATTTTTCAGCATGTAACTGGAGATTGTATCGTATCCATCTACAATCTCGCCACCCTCCCACGATTTGTCTAAAATGTCCGTGTCACATCTTGGGACCGTGTTCGAAGAATTTCTCTCGTCAGATGTAATGTGAGAAGTGTTTTGATTTGTATTGCCCTCTCTGCCGTCTTCCATAAGCTTTTGGTCTATGTCTCTGTTTTCTTCAATCTCGATGTTTTCTTCCATGTCATTCTCAGAGGAATGGCTGACCGACGGAAAAGTCTGAGTCAGCCATTCGGCGATTGTAAGGTTTTGATTTTCTTCTCTAGATAAGCTATCCATTATAACTGCGTCTAAAGTTTCCTTCTTAGGAATATTTGACGATGGTCCGAATTGAATCCATTTGCTGGTATCCTTTTGGATTGATCTCACCACTATGCACTTTTTAGCTTGAAGTGCACCGTTTTGTAAGCTGAACGAAAGATTTGAAACGTCTAGTTTAAAACTATCCTTTGGTACAAACAACCTGTTGGCTCGCAAAGTCTGGTCAACTTCGATAATACAAGAAGAAAGATCACGCACTGCACCATGCTTATACAGAATGGTCCCTTCGATAATATCTGAAGACGTTTCAGCATCATCTGAATCTGAATTTATAGAATGCTCATCGCTCTCGGATCCCATAGTTTGCTTTTGTAAAACTCCTGCATCAATTATGTGCTCATCCTCTTCAGAATTCATTTCTTCATCTTCGACTGAACTATTCATTTCTGAGGTTTGTTTACAAAATATTTGTTTTATATTTAAATCCTCAGAAAATAATAACCGTGGACAAAATCGATCGCATATCAATATCTTTGCAGCAGCATAACTTTCAAGGAAGGCCTCGGGAAGATTTTTCAGAAACTTCAACTCGCTACAGAACCTTGATATTCTCAGATATCTTCTCCTTTGTTTGTCGCGTTCCTCTGGCGGTTGAAACAAGAGAAAACATTCATCTTCTGAAGACAATTGTTGTGAAGGTAACTCTCGGTCAATGTTTTCCAATTCTTTTGGCATCCAGCCCCAAGTTCGTACAGCAGGGACCACATCAATGCTGATAACAATATTCTTCATTATTCGTCCACACCAATGTACTTCCATATTAAGAATTGGTTTATCTACAGGGAATTTTAAAAGACCGTCAAAGTAAAAACAATTCTGGTTCCATATTTCCGGTGTATTGACAGCTTTCGTAAAAAGATCTTGAAACATGTCTCTCACAAGGTACGACTCAATGATATATCCATCTGTTGTATACTTTGCAAGAGGGTGCCATTCATGGAATGATTTAACTTTCAAGGTTGCAAAGCCACTGTTCAGTGTATCATCTTCTTGATAAGGTATGCATTCTCCTGAGAAGAAATCCAGACAAAACGTAAAGTCAAATTCATCAGCTTCTCCAATTTTACTTCCATCTTCTGAACTTCCGGTGGGAAAAACTGTACATCTAAACGCAGGATCGTTTTTACTTATAGATTCAGCAATTTTGTACATCAGTTTTAAAATTTCGTCTTTAACTTCTTGTGCCTCGGATTCTCGATTAACAAGACCCAGTCTGGGTGAATTGATCAAATTTTGAAGCAGTTCACGAGGATTTTCTTGAAAACTCAAAACTTCATGCAAAGCTTTATCAATATTTGCAACATCCTCGTGGTAAATCAATAAGTTCACATAATGTCTTTTAACAGGGTCTTTATCAACTTCTCTTGTCGTACCAGTCAGCATATTAACGAGTTCGTAATTTCCGACTCTGCGAGCCAATTTGGCTGGAGAGATGCCTTGATTATCAAGTACAGTCAGTGGTAAACCGTGTTCAATGAGAGCCGACGCCATTATTGGGGCACCGTACCATGCTGCATAATGAAGAAGTGAGGAACTAAAATTGTCCATTTCGTGTACACTGACTCCATTCTTTAAAAATAACTCGAACAGAGGCTGGTAGTTTGTTGCCACGTCTGATATTACCAGACCGCTCCGTGGGGTATCCTCGGGTGTGTACATAAACACGTCTGTTATTGGTGATTGCCCAAATTTGTCTCGGATCGTAAAATCTGCTCCATATTGCTCCAGCAAGTCGAAGCAATCTTTGGTGAGCACCCTGAAAAGAGCTGTTTGACCAAATATATCTTTGTTGTTGACATCTGCACCTGACTGGAGTAAAACCTCGACTATTGGGGTCACTCTATTCAAGACAACATCCATCAAGGGTGTGACCCCTATATTTGACCTTGTGTTGACATCTGCACCTAATTGAATCATTCTTTTGATTGTTTCAATATTGTTATCAACATTCATTGTGTACATATAAAAAGCTGAAAAGCCAAATTTATCTTTCATATTCAAAAGATCTTTCACTGGACAAGGTTGGCATATTTTTTCATTCATGAAGTCGTTGATAAATGATTCCATCTGCTGAATTATATTTGGGTAGATGTCCCTCTCTCTGAGACTGTCAGGAAATCCACACATGCATTTATAAAAGATGGTGTAGCCAACGATGTTCTGAGACTTCACATCAAATTTTACTTTTGATTTCGTTAGTAAAAATCTGAGGATCTCTGGTATAAATTCGTAGTAGCTATAAAATACAACATGAAGTGGTGTATCTTGGAATTTGTCCTTAATATTTACATTGGCACCGTATTTTAAGAGAACTGACATCGCCCTCTTGAGCTTATCCATGTCTTTAATGATATCTTCCTCAAACAGGGAATGTAAGGGTGTTCGACCTTGAGCATCTTGGGCATTAACATCACAATCACCACTACAGAGTAATTCCTCAAGTTTACCAACATCACTCTTTTCTGCGGCTAAATGAAGAAGCGTCCTGCCCAAGCCATCACGTTTTCCTTCGACTTTGTTTTCTCCACTCATTTTGCTTTCCCTTTGAACCTTACTTCCGCAATTAAAATCTTCTTTCGGTTTTCGTAATTGTACAACAGGAGTTGCAATTTCGCAATCTCTTTAAACAACAATTTGGATCAATAACTATGTAAAATAGTATTGTGATAGAACAAGAGGCTCCCGTGGTTCTTTATTTTAAAAACATGAGCAATGTATATACATGTATAATTTGCGTCCAGTTTTTTTTTTCAATTGGGAAGATATTGAAAGGGGGGGGGGGGGTGAACAATGTGTGTACATACATGGTAAACTTCTATAATTAATCGGGTTTTTTTTTTGCTATGTTTTTGATATATATAATATATAAAGTATTTTTCCCGGCAGTAAGTTTTTTTTCCAATCTGATTAAAATCAGATCTTTGTTACGCTTCGAAATTCTGATAGTCTTTGTACAGTGACTATCAGAATTTCGTAGCGCAACAAAGATCTGATTTTAATCAGATTGGTTTTTTCCTAATATTGAGGATTATCCCTGTTTATTATGCATCGGACACCCTTGCACTTCAACAAGTTCAAGCGATATCGCTACCGACCGAATATTATCAAAATGGAACTTTACATGTAGTATGTGGTTACAATATAAGTTTTTGACACAATCGTGCCCTATTTATTGAGAAAATATCATTAAAAACCGATTTTTTCGAAATAAGTCAGAATTCACCATGGATCGGACAATATTCACCATGCATCGGACATACGATATTTAAACCAGAAAAATATCATACCTTGATCTCGGTGCTTTAAAATTAATGATATCGAAACATTTTTATCTTTTACTTAAAAATCAATCTTCTAATTAAATTTGAATGACTATTTCGATCCACAAATATGAAGAGATTTTAGCTGTATCACATCGCCTTAGAAAGGCTTTACAATGCTAGTAATATGGCAACTCGCGCCTTTGTCTCGTGGGCTATAATCATCTAGTTTAAAGAAATAAATTGAGTCCAATTCTAGTCGTCATATATCGATAATTTGTATTTTCACTGAAAATACAGAGTTTCTATTTTCTATTTCCGTAAAAAACATCCGTCATTTGGGTTTTACATGAACATGGAAGTGATTACCCATGCATCGGAAAGTGTCCGATGCATGGTTAATTTGTGTCCGATGTACGGTGAAATAAACATACTAGTTAAAAACAACTCTAAAATATATTATACAAACATTGAAGTAAAATTTTTGAAAAATTTCTGTAATATTATCAATCACTGACAAATTTTACCAAGGTCCGACCCGTTCCGTTGACGTCTATTTAAAAAAACGACAACTCTAAAAATTGCAAAATCGTAAATTTCTGGTTACTCCCCTTTGATGATGCAAAATATGACGTAATTTCAAGGCCATTCTTGTGGTATTTTTATCACAACATGAAAAAAAAATCGACATCATTAAAAAGTTTAATTCTTCATCTTTAAGACAGAAAGGAGTAAAAACACGGGGAGACTCAGGTTCAATGAAAGTTTATTGCTTAAAGTTGTCCGAAGCAAGGTATGTGTCCGATGTATGGTTAGTGTAGTAAATACACCGATTCGGCACTGTGCGATACGAGTGACGTCACGTACAGAACCACATATCAAGGATCGGTCCGAAAATCCATATAACGTATCGGACCGGCGGGCAAAAATCCATATCAAACCGGAAGTAACGTTTGTTTAAAGTTTAAAAGTTAATTAACTTGATTTTATTTAAATATACATGTAAAATAATTCTTTACTAACATCTGTGGGCTTAATTTGTTTTCATAGATTTTAAAGAAAAGGGTCAAAAACATGCACGAAACATTCTTCAATGATTTTATGTGAACTCGCATATTAAGTATTTTGAATATTTGATAAATAGAATATTACATACTGAAATCCATATCATATGTCATATCAGCCCTCGGGCCCTATATCAGTCCTCGGGCCTTCGGCCCTCGGGCTGATATGGGGCCACTCGAGCTGACATGACATATGATATGGATTTTAGTATGTAATATTCTCTATGTATCATTTTGTTTGTTGTCCTGGAAACAGCCAAATGAAAAAGCGCTACAATTACTACCTACTATATTTCAGGTGTAGGTTTTGCATTCAAACATGATTTTCATTTGATGTATATACATGTATAAATATAGGAGAGGTAAATAAAAATAATAAAAAGAGTATTTCACTCGTGAGCCAGGATTTTTTCGTGCTTCGCACTCCTGAAAATATAAAAAAAAATCCTGTCCCACTCGTGAAGTAAATTCCATATCCAACTACAAAACATTGAATTTTCTGTTTATTACATTTTCTTTGATTTTTCCTTTGCCTATCTTTTCTTAACACAGTGTCATTGGCTGTGACGTCATAGTTGAGACGTCATAGCATTGAAAACATTGTAACATGTATTTTAGCAACATATTTGGGAAGAAATTGGCAGTTTTAGCTCTATCAAGATGGTTTAGTTACTATCTCTATCTTATTACAGGCCAGAATTTATTTTTTATTTACTTTGATATCCTTTCACACTGTGAGAGAATATCATTTTGGTATCCTTTCACACTGTGAGAGAATATAACTTTTATTCAATTAATAAATCACAGTAATTCACTGTTGAAAATGTAATAAAATGCATTTGACAAAGTTTAATATTTTTTTTATGTCTCTATTCTTGATATAATCATTGAGAGGGAAAAAACAGTAAAATTTGGGGTTTGAAAAAACATTTTTTTGTAAAGAGTCACATAGTGTTACTTAATGACATGATGCTATAAAAAATATGTAAGTGGACATGTATCTTTTAAAATATTTCAGAGTACGAATAGGATTTAAAATTCGAAAAAGCAAGTTTCTTCTATCACACTGCATCTGGATAGCGAAAATTATGTACTTTTTAAGACAACTTAAGCAACAAAAAACGTAATTCACAAAAAAATTCTATCATTGAATATTTTTAAATTTACGTTGAAATGCAAGTCCTTCAAATTATTGATTAACTGTAAAAATTTTGAATGGTGAAGCTGACCTCAATATATTGCACAGGAGATCGTTAAAGAGGACAAAACGTGTCATGTTTACATTTCTCGAGTACGGGAAAAACCAACTATGACGTCACATGTAAGCTAAATAAGATATACCTACATAAGATTTCTACGAAAGCCGGATAGGTTCATTTTTGACAAGACAAAAAAATATTTAATTCGTTATTACGAGATAATTATCTCGTAATAATGAGTTAGTATCTCGTTATAACGAGTTAGTATCTCGTTATAACAAGTTAATATCTCGTTATATCGAATTAGTTATCTCGTGTTATAACGAGTTAATTATCTCGTTATAACGAGTTAGTATTTCGTTATAACGAGTTAGTTATCTCGTTATAACGAGTTAGTATCTCGTTATAACGAGTTAGTTATCTCGTTATAAAGAGTTAGTTATCTCGTTATAACGAGAAAATTATCTCGTTATAACGAGTTAGTATCTCGTTATAACGAGTTAGTATCTCGTTATAACGAGTTAGTTATCTCGTTATAACGAGTAAGCTTTCTCGTTATAACGAGTTAGTATCTCGTTATAACGAGTTAGTTATCTCGTTATAACGAGTTAGTTATCTCGTTATAACGAGTTAGTATCTCGTTATAACGAGTTAGTTATCTCGTTATAACGAGTTAGTTATAACGAGTTAGTTATCTCGTTATAACGAGTTAGTTATCTCGTTACAACGAGTTAGTTATCTCGTTATAACGAGTTAGTATCTCGTTATAACGAGTTAGTATCTCGTTATAACGAGTTAGTTATCTCGTTATAACGAGATAATTATCTCGTTATAACGAGTTAGTTATCTCGTTATAACGAGTTAGTATCTCGTTATAACGAGTTAGTATCTCGTTATAACGAGTTAGTTATCTCGTTATAACGAGATAATTATCTCGTTATAACGAGTTAGTTATCTCGTTATAACGAGATAATTATCTCGTTATAACGAGATAAAAATTGATCTAGAATTGATATAGCTTAGTAAAGAATAGACCATTATTTATAGGAAATATACAGAAGCAAGTCGATCAAATTTGTTTGAAGTGTGAGTGATAAAGATTTTATGGAATAGCATACTAGTTTTTTTGTGTTATGCCTTTGATTAGTATTGTTTATTGGAAAGACCGAAGACAAATATACGGAAACTTGTGACCGCCTCATGTTGTTGTGTTACACCTTAAAAGTGCAAAATAGAATTAGTGTCATCTTCAAATGGTACTCTGGCTGATATAACTGCACTGTTCAAGCTTTCTTGAATTTGTTAAAATTATAATAATGTTTGCGTAATATTTGTCGCAATAAAAATGCATAGAAATAATTCCATTATTTTAAATATTCCGAATAAATCATGTGGATATGAAACCATTTGTTAGGCTTTAACGATCATATTTTGATAACTCCTTGCCTGTTAACAAGGAATACCAGTTCAATTTTATCGTTTTAAAGGGGCAAGATCAAAATTCAATGTCTGACAAAAAACTAAATTCACGTTGTTTTTATCATCAATCCCTCATTCCCCTCAATAATAAATATGATGAATATCAAGAACTAATACTGTACTTATCACTTAATAATTTATATATTTCTTCTGTTTATTAAAAGAAAGAAACATTTTAATTTACCAATTTGGCATGGAATCTTAAATTACTATATGTAATTTTTGCGTTATTATCAATGTGGTAGAATTAAAAAAAACTTTTGGAGCTCTTTATTCTACGGAAGCCACGATAAAAGGTGAAGGTCGGCATTAGTAAAAACAGTTGACATGTGATCCTTTTTGGGTATATAGAATGAAAGTTTAATATCTAAAGTTTACAATATGATAAGTATTACTTAAGGTGTATTTCAAGCATAAATTTTGCCAAGAAATGTGTATTGTATGTTGAGACAGGATTTTTGATATTTTCACTCGTGCTTCGCACTCATGAAAATATAAAAAAAATTCCTGTCCCACTCGTGAAATAAATT